GCTCCGCCAGGTACCACGACACGGGTGAGGGACTGCGCCAGGGAGATCCTCTGGTCACCGTCCTGGACCCCAAAGATGACGAAGGCGGTTCCGTCCACGTTCTTCCCGTACAGGAACCTGCCAGGCACAGGGGTTTTGGGGCCGCCACTCCCGGAAGAGCCTCTGCCACCTGCTGCTCGCTCGCTGTGGCTGCGACCCACGGGCCCCATCTCTGCCCCCCCCCGCATTGGCACCTGGCTATGATGTTGACCTCCAGGCCCCTCGGGTCATCGATGTAGTAGAATTTCTCCCCAGGCTCCACCACGACCTCGAAGCTGGGCAGCACTGGGGGAGACACCGCGTCAGCAGCCAGGGGTGCAGGGCGGGGAGCAGGGGTGCCGCACCCTGGCCCCGCGCTTACCGTACTCTTTCACCTCGAACTGTGCCGAGAAGACCTGCTTGGGCGCGTGCTCGTAGAAGGCCTGGATCTTCCACTGCCCCATGCTGGGGGAGAGAGGCGGGTGTGCGGCCAGGCCGAGGGGCCCCACGCCCCCACCCCCTCCCAGACAGCCCAACCTACTTGACCAGCTCCGGGATGCTCCAAGACGAGGGCAAGATGCCGTGCTGGTTGTGGGAAGACAGGGTGTCCCGCTTGATGGGGATGCCGTCGGGGGTCTGCAAGGACACACAGAGGGATGTGGGTAACACCAAGCGTAGCCCCCAGCACGACTCGGTGCCCCCACTGACCCCCCCGCTCCCTCCATCAGGTCTACAGGGGCCAATAGTAAGAACGTGGACTTGAGTCAGCCTAGGTTCAAACCTAGTTTGCCACTCCCAAGCTGTGTGACCTTGGACAAGTTACTCAACCTCTCTGTGCTCCACGTTCATATCTAGGAAAAGGAGATGATGAGGGCTCCTGCCTCACTGGTTTAGGGCTTAGTTCATGTAAGTAGGAACTCTTTAGTATCCGTGTCTCTCGGAGCACTGCTAATTAGTAGTATTTACTACCCACGTCTGTGCAGGACCCTGAGCACGCGATTAGACCAAAGCCCACATCACAGTCAACATTCAACTTGTGACCTCCAACATCAGCAAGTTGTTGTTATTTGACTTAATACACGTATGAGTTCATTAAACCTGGTTTTTTCACTTCTGTTAGAATTTAGGGAGTTCTGTGGATAAGGCGCTCCTCCTGCCTCAGCCTCCCAAAGTGCCAGGATGTTGGGCGGGGGAGCCGGAGGCCAGTGAGGCTGGAACGGTGAGTAAGGAGGAGAAAGTAGAGGGGAGGTTGGGAGGTAAGGGCAGCAGGTTGGCAAAGGCTTCACGGGGAGGGCACCCTCCCCAAAGTGCTCACGGGCGCCCTCTAGCGACTGCAGGCGACACGACACCACGGAATTCTTTTTATCTATCGCTGTCCCAGACTCCAGCTGGGAAACTGAGGCTCAGGGAGGTGAAACGACCCGGGGATTTATCTGAAGCCGGAATCCGTGATCCCTTCTGGTCTCTGTCTGCCCCCTCCCCCGGCTTCTCTGCGTTTCTGCCTGGGTCTCGGCCCTGAGGTTTCTAGGCCGGTACCTCGATGATGACGATGACGGTCCGGCCCACGGGCAGCAGGTCGTGGTCCACGGTGAAGATTCGGCCCTGCCTTACCGGTGGAGCCCGGGGTGTAGATGGTCTTGTCGGTCTGGATGAAGAGGTACCCGCTCTGCAGGCTGATCAGCACCACCTTTTCCAGCTGCGTGTCCCCGAAGGCCGCCTGCACGATCACGAACTTGTGCCCCTTATCCGACCTGAACTCCTTGCTGGAAGGGATCTGGGCCGGAGCCGTGGATGTGGTCAGGATCTGCTCTGGGGGCCACACCGGGGCCCAGGCTCTGACCAGACCAGTGCCCCTCCGGCTCTTCCTCAGGACACGGCCCGCCCATGGCTCAGGGCAGGAAGTCAGGGCACCCCAGAAGGAGCAAGAAGGGTCAGAGGGGAGCAGCACAGGGCTGAGAGGGGGGGAGGGTTCTCTGAGGGGAAAGAGGCAGTGAGGGGAGGGCCTTGAGGGGGG